TTGTCATCCCTTCACAGGTCGAGATTAACGAGAAGGCAATTCGCTCCCTGTTCATCTTCAACTCAGGAAAGTTTAACTTCGACTACACCTGGGAATTAGTTTATAAAACCAAACACAAACGATCCAGTGAGGTTTCCATCTCTCCTGAAAGTGGTACCGTTCAGTCAAACACTCGTAAGCGTTGTCAACTTGTGTTCTGTCCTCTTACAAGGGTGTCTTTAAAAGGCTGTGATCTGTTTCTTCGGGTAAGTTAACTGGAGGTTCTATATGCATTACAAGGTTTATCAAACCGCAATGTTRTTGAGAAAGTCACGCGGTCTGGTCGAAACGTATTTTTTTTTTGCACAGCTTCGCCCTGAAAGGTGTTTAGAGTGTATTTCACGCTGACTATACTGTTATGGCACAAAATAGAAAATAATTTTAATTAAAATAGTCTYMTTCACGGTTCCCTGCGCCATCTTGAAAKGTAGCCGTACCTTYGCATCGAAGCGAGACGRCYTACAGACAATTGTTCACAGGTATCTATAATTGTACGCTCAACGGTCGTGTCGCTTCCATGAAAAGGCRCGACTACCTTTCAAGATGGCGCACGTAACCGTCAAGGARACTAMTGCAAAGTWAAGTGCATGAAAGRGCGGGAATTTACTRAAWTCTTTGCAACATTAGCAACATGAAAGTTTGAGTAGTTGCTGATSTTCTTAGTTTGTTAAGTCCTSGGTTTGCTGTTGCATCCTGAGTWTTTCATWTGTTGTTGAAGTATGAGTTTGTTGTTTATTAGATCAAAAATGGTCCRACATTTAACATTAACATCACTGGAAGTGGAGTGCAGCCGGTCCTGAATTTTTCGTTTTTGAAACATGATTTTGGGCCGTGCTTCCTTTACCGGGCAGGAATGCCTCTACAGAAAGCTACACTGGTTATAACTAACCAGGACAACAAAGACATAAGGTAAAAAAATCATAATAATTATAATTTTTTGCTTTGAAAGTCGTTTGTTTAATCATGATCAGTTTAACAAATAGYGACACTAGTAAGTAAGTGSAGGCTTCTCATCACGTTTTGAGTGMTCGCTTCACTTTCCAGRGTACTGCATTACTGAACGGAGCAGGTAGCAGTTATTCTTATTTCAATTAACCTGATCGGTTGTTCTATTATCGTTCAATGAACCCGATCAGTTGCTCTATTATCCTTGTTATCGGTTGCTCTTATTATCATTCAATTAACCGATCGGTTGTTCTATTATCTTAGACTAACCCGATCACTTGTTCTATTGTCTTTCAATTAAATCGATCACTTGTTCTATTGTCCTTGTAATCGGTTGCTCTTATTATTATTCAATTAACCCGATCACTTGTTCTATTATCTTTCATTTAATCCGATCACTTGTTCTATTATCTTTCAATTAACCCGATCATTTGTTCTATTAGCATCGAATGCCACTACGAAAGCACGGCGTACCTAGAGGTCCATTCCCAGCCTGGTGTACTGCATCCCAATAAAACCATGGAAGTGGAATTTCTGTTTTATCCTCGAGAAGCTAAGCAATACCACATGGTCATTCCGTTCGAGATCAATGGCTTGTCGAAGATGAACGTGGAGATCTTTGGCGAAGGGACCGACATGAAGGTATGGTATAGCTATAACCAATAAGGTATTGTCGAAGATAACGGCGAGCAAGCTGGAGTAGSTAGTAAAAAAACACGATCTCGAAGTGTCATCTTTCTGAATTTGCGCATTCTAATACGATTAATCGCGTTGATGATGATGATGATGATGATGATGATGATGATGATGATGATGATGATGATGATGATGATGATGATGATGACTATTTATCCTCTTTAAACTAAATCCCAGTACATACTCAAAAATGCCCTTCGTTTGTGTTGCGAATTAGCAACAGTTATGAATCGAATCTAAAGTTTTGAAAAGCAAAAAAAAATATGCAAAATAGTGACTATTTGTAAACATATATGCCTGTCGACTTATAATTTCCAATGCGCTCAAGAGTAATTCTTCATTACAGGTGGAAGTTGCGAATCCAGCCAACAAAAAAGTCAACCTGGGGGCTCTTCGAATAGGGCAAAGCAGCCAGAAATCCATCCAACTCATCAACCGAAGTCCTGCTACCATCACATTCACAGTGGCTGTCACCCCAACCACACTACAGCTACAACAAGACACTGGTGTTATTACTGTACATCCAACAAGAGAGATCACACTTCGTGCTAATGGCGGTACAGGCACCGTGGATGTCGCCTTTAGACCTAAAGTTCGTATTCCACAGTTTTCTGAGGAGGTAAGTTGGTAAGGAGGCATTGCGTACTGCCTTGGGAATCGCTCAGAGACAACCACTAAAAGTTCAATACGAATTAGTACTATTTAATCACTAGAATTTCCATGGTTTTAGTGTTTGCACTCTGCTCAAATTTGCTTTTATCGACTGGAACAGTTCTGTAAAAAGATAAATTTAACACCGTAAAAAAGTAGGTGAAATAACTTACTAACGTTTCGGACGTTAATCCTTCGTCGGAGTAAAAACGTAAGGTAAAGGTGTATCTGTTTATACAACTGTTTCTTTAGAAACACCGACGCAGATCACACTAGTTTACCGCCACCATTTTATCGACTGATGTTGATTCCTATATATTTTTTTTCACAGATAATGCTAGAGTGCGCAGGTCTATCACAGCCCATCTTTATGATAACAGGATCTTGTCAAGGAATCGAGATCTCCTTAGACAACGAATCCCTTCCATTTGGTGCCGTCATGATCGGAAGCAAGAGCACTAGACAACTCATCATGCACAATACWGGAGACGTTGGAGCTGCCTTCGCTTGGAACTCGGAGAAGTTTAGCCCTGACTTYAGCGTCTCGCCAACTAAAGGCTACATATCGCCGGGGATGGACGTGTCCTTCCAGATTTCTTTCCATCCAACCGCGGTTAATCATGACATTAGATATGAGGTAATTCAGCTTCTTGATAACATATTTAATAAAGATAGAATTTCTGTACTCGTAAAGGCCTGCTTATACTAGCAATTTTTCCGCGCGACACGAACTACGATCTCATGTCGCACATGTAAACAGTCCGCAAATTCAGGGTGATTTCATATACAAAGTTCAAGTGAAATTACGGCGATTTGCACTAAAATTTTGAGCATGTTCAAATTTGATGCGATAAACCTGCGATCTGCCGCGGCATGAAATCGTCATGATTTTGAAGGCTGTTTACACATGCGATTTAGGTTTGCGATAAAAACGACACAGAAATAATATCTCTTATCGCGCGACAAATTTGCAAGTGTAATTTAGGCTTAAGACTCCTAACTTGGTTTACTGGACAAAGTTGAGAAAAATATTCGTAACATTCATGATTTGCCTTTTTTTACATCAGGGTCTACGCTGTGCCATTGAAGGTTCCAAACCTCTAAAGCTCGTACTGACTGGAAGCTGTGTGCCACAAACACCATTAAAAGAGGTCTTRCACTTCACCACGCACGTCCGAACTCGCGAGACACGCAACCTCGTGATTCACAATCGAACCAATCAGCTTTGGATGCTGCGTCCTGTCATTGAGGGAGAGCATTGGTCAGGCCCTGACTCCATAACCGTCGAGCCTCAACAGAGYAAGAATTATGAGCTGACGTACAGACCTATTGTTATGACTGTGGAAGGGAAGAAGCATCAGGTTAGTTTAGCCCACATTTCAGCCATTCATTTATTCATTCATTTATTCATCAGTATCATTTTCTATTTTCTTTTGTGGGGTTCCGTAAGGATTAAAATAGTTACTGGGAATTTTCCTGTATTGAACTGGAGAAATGGGATTTCAGACACTGGGACTGGGATTTACTACAAGAAAAACAAAAACAAAAAAATAGAATGGGATTCGCATTTAGACAAAAAGTTATGGGTCTACCTCATTTTTACTGATTTTAACGGAAAATTAGTTGGAAATTTTACTGGAAAATCTCAGTCTTTTGCATACTATGTAAATATTTTGTATTGTATTGTATTCTACAAACAATTTTTTTACATTTACAAAAAATCTACATTGAGTACGAGGAAGAATTTACAAATGATTTACTAAGTCTTTTGAAGTTTACATAGTATGTAAAAGTACCTTGGTCCTGTAAAATCAATTTTACAGTCTGTTTACAAACAATTTACACATGATTTACATAGTATGTAAAAGTCTGAGGAATTCCAGTGTTTTGCTGGGAAATTAGGTTAAAATTAGATTGAAATTTCTTCTATGTAATAAATTCAAGGTTTTCTAATGTCATGACTATTTCAGGGATCGGTATTCTTCCCATTACCTGACGGTAGTGGTTTGTTATACAATATAACGGGTACAGCCGAAGGACCAAAGCCTGTCAGCAACATACAACGAGATGTCCCYTGTAAAACACCATATACTGAACTACTTAGCGTATCAAACTGGCTTAGAAGACCTCAAAGGTTAGTCATTATCGGTTGAATTGATTGTGTAAGCTTTACTTCGATGATGTAGTCTTGTGTGGGGCTTAAAGGCCCAGGTGCACCCGAGAGCCTTTGCGCGATGCTCTCACCTTTCCAAAATCCGCCATCCTTAATATTGTACCTAATGTGATGGCAACTTTCAACAAAAGTACAATTTTAAAACGAAGCGCCGACGATCTCAAAGATTCTTTTTTTGATCATGTTTATATTATTTTCATTGTGTAGATTTCGAGTTATCATTGAGATGATYAAACCAGAAAAGCCCGACAATGCTACTTCTATCAAAGGTCTCGATTACATCGACGTCCCYGGTCTCTCGAAGAAGGACTATAAACTGAACTTCTTTGCTCATAAAGAACAGACTGTTAGTGCCAGGGTAAGTATTCATCACATAACAGTACAAGTGTTGAGGAAGAACGAGAAGGCTTATCTGCGCCCATTATTCTTGTATTCAAAGTTGTCTATAGCGCGTGCGCATGAGATATTTCTAGGCAGCAGTATTCCGAGTCTCTTTCATTCAGCGCTCGCGCCAGCTATACACTGGACATAGAGATCGACAATCGGGAACAAAGCTGTTGTCGTGAGAGAAAGACAATTGCTATTCAAGACACTATCTTGTTCCATTTCTTTAACCTCGCCTTCCCCGATACATTGTAACCTCTTGTTAGGTGAAGRCCTGCAACTTTTGCATTGAGGACTACCAAAATTGTATTTGGGGAGTGGGGAAGCAATGGCTTTAACTTGTAYAAAGATATCAGTTCTTAAAGAGAACTTCAAAAATTCATACATAATTAATGAGTTATTAGGCCAATAGAATGAGCCTATTTGGTCACATGCATGGACCTTTATATCTGATAAAACACTCCTTATTAGTATTCTTCATATAAAGAATACTAATAAGGGTGACCTTTATCAGATATAAAGGTCCATGCATGTGACAAAACACATTATGTCCGCCATTGTAAGATGTCGAGAATTTCAGCAACGAGCCTAATATCAATTATATTTTCTAGGTAACATTTCGCAACGAACAGTCCAACGAATATCTATTYTACTATGTGACATTCAAAGCGACAGCTCCTGGTGTTATGGCCGCCATTGAACTCTGCACACCTGTGAGAAAGAGCGCATCCCACGTAGTGACCCTGCACAACCCACTCAATGCGCCTGTGAACTTTAGTTCTCAGTGCACCGTAGCAGACATTCAGCTGCCACCGAATTTTACCATCCCTGCAGTGTCAGAGGTATTTAGTAGTCATAATAGTCAATTTGCTTATSAAATTATGTCTTCTATTCAGTTTTATAAAATATTTGATATATAATGCGCGCTCTGATTGGCTGACGACCGTGTTTATATCATAGGACAGAGTCACGGCTTACCGGCCAAATTTGTTTTTCGCTCAAAAAAGAGCTATAAAACGGCCGCTTGTGTCTCTGTCCTCTGATATAAACACGGTGGGAGTTGAAAAGCACTCGAGAAGCAAGAGAAACGCTTGCTACGCTCGTTTTTCTAAGCTTGCTTCTCTCGTGTTTTTCAACTCCAACCGTGTTTATATCAAAGGACAGAGACACGAGCGCCGTTATATATAAAAAGTGCGAGGACTCCAACTCCCATCATGCCTTGTACAAAATGGCGTCCCTTGAATTAAGATATACGTAAATACTTCCCAAGGAGCCATATCAAGTGGATGGCTGCTTTAGAGCAGCGTTTGTGAGAGAGAACTGAATATTTTTCTTATGATTATTTGTCATTCACAGGGCTCGTGCATGTTCGAGTACTTACCGTTAAAAGCTGGTGAAKCAATCCCTGGTAAGCTGTCATTCCATAGTTCTGAGCTCGGAGTTTATCAGTATGACTTGGTTCTTACTGCTACTCCTGCTGGACAAGAGGCCCCTGTTCATTTCCGTGCAAGCCTCGGGACGACGCAAGTCCACACGTGTCGTTTTGTCAGTTTTGCGAAGTCGAAAGTTGAATATACATGCAAAGTAAGTGGAGAAAACATTGTTTGAAATGGGATGGATTATTCATAGTTAGCAATAAAATAAAAGGGTTTATTATAACTTATGTCAGGGAAGGCATAGCTGGGTGGTGGGGCATCCCTATAGGGGAAGAGAGTATTTGAGTCACTGTTGTGTAAAAAGATAAATTGAACATCGTAAAAAAGTAGGTGAAATAACTTACTGACGTTTCGGACGTTAATCCTTCGTGGGAGTGAAACGTCCAAAACGTCGGTAAGTTATTTCACCTACTTTTTTACGGTATTAAATTTATCGTTTTACACAACTGTTTCTTTAGAAACACCGACGCAGCTCACACTAGTTTACCGCTAGTTCCCACCATATTTGAGTCACTGCCCGTTAAAAACGGGATTCCAGTTGTTTTATTAGACAAACTGTCCGTGCTAACGAAGCTTCCTCGTCTGTCATTATAGGTGGACAACAGTGATTTCCACGTTGAAAAGACCATCACTGCCGCATCAGCGTCAAGCGGAGGAACAGAAGTAGGCGTAGATGTCACCTACGAGCCCATTCGACTMGGTGATACTCGGGCCACTCTTACAGTGTTCTCGTCTGTCGGCGGAGAGTACATCTTCCCGCTGTTTGGACACTGCTCAGCGCCTAAGCCACAAGGCCCGTACAACATCAAATCGGGTGCAACCACTTCTATTCCTTTCAAGAACGTGTTCCCAAGCACAACGCAGTTTCAGTTTTTCGTGGATAACCCGTGYTTTAACGTCAAAGCTAGCGAGACAATACGCGCAAAGAAGACGCACAATATCATTGTTGGTTATGAGGCAGGACAAACTGCGTCTAAAGCCCCACGTATGGGAAAACTGCTGATCTCGTGTCCTAAGAGCGCAGGTGGAACGGGAAACATAACATGGACATTCTACTTGAAAGGGAATATTCACTGAATTTTGTATTTATTTCATTATTTCAAACGATTTTGTGCAGATCAATGTATTATTTTGTGATARAGTTTGACAAATAAAATTTCTCTTGAATATAAAAACGAAGCTTTACTTTTAATGTCAGCATAATACATTTTGTATAGTTTATAATGTTTATATATAATGTACTTTTTGGCACCACTCAGCCAGGGAAATCAAATTAATACTTGTCATGACTAAAAATTTATATAGCAGTTTAAAGCTGCCATGTGATCTAGAACGTTATGTACTAGCACAGGTAGCCCAAGCACTGCACTTGTCGGCTTTTGTCTGAAGGTCTTGTGGGGGAAAACGAAAAATTCAATAAAAGTAGGAAAAGTATTTATTATCTAGGGGACCAACATTAAGAAAAAAAGTAGTTTTTTTGACTGCAGAGAGCTGAAACTTAGCATAGATGTGTAATAAATTAAGAACAACATATTGTGTGAGTTTGAATTCATTTTATTAAGATTTCCTACTTTTATTGACGACAAGTGAAGTGCTTGGGCCACATGTGGTACTAGGACAAATCTAAATATTAGTCAAAGAATCAAAGCTCACGATATATCAAACTGAAAAAGCAAAAGGATTTCAAAAGTATATTAAACTTGATTGAACGTAGTGGGTGTGCGCACCTCACCCCTAGTCTCCTTTCGCATCCGTTTTCGCTTCGGGCTTCCTGTCCCTCAGGAACAGGGAGCCCGAAGCGAAAACGGATGCGAAAGGAGACTACCTCACCCCCAGTTTGTGTCTGCTTTATAACCATTGGTGTTTGCGGTGTTTGAGTACCCTATTCGAAGTCCTGCACCCCTCCGTTAAGAACTTTCTGGATCGTCCCCTTTTAATCTAGTTCGGCAGTCATYGGCCTTTCTCCGTGGCTAGGTGCCACAAGCTTTCTTGGTGATTGRAGTGCTAAGCGGAGAACAGCTACGTTACCCAGTAATGCAAGGAGTAGCAACTTCATAGTTATTCAAATCACTGAGGAAAAAATAGCCACTTGTCTTTTCAACTGAATAAATAGGCCGATTTTTCGGCTGATGTTTTTTAAAAACATTTGTAATTTAGTCTGGTATATTTTCTTTTTTTTCTTTAATGGAAATTAAAGCCATCAGTTCAATTAATAAGAAAAAGAAAGAATTCTTTTTACTTCCCTATTCCCATTGGTGCATTTCCTCAAATTCCAGCAGTCCAGTGTAGTCCTTCTCGTTCTCTAATTTCCACGCACGTGGTCCCATCATGCTATGCGTTTGTGGCAGGCGCGAAAATTAATATGGCGGAGATATCTTGGGGAAGATGTACTCRCTTTTAAGCTTTTTTTCTGAGGTAAGGTTATCTTAAACATTGAAATTATAAATTTCGATTGTTTATAAAGCCTTTTTGGGTATTACCAGTAATATTTTGTCAACTCTTTTGGAGAAAAACTTCATTTTTTTATCGTTTGACTGGGAGGACCTTCGTCTATTTTTACTGCCCACTTGGTCTGACATATATGTCTAAAAAATCGATTTTTTCCTGTATTATATCTTTGAAAAAGTGGCAATAGCTCGTCTAGATAGATTTTATATGTATTAGTGCATAAACTGAAATGATTTAGTTGCATTTATTAACGTTAAGTATATTTGTATTTTTTGCAGACTACAGTTGCGTCGGGGGGTCCACTTCGACTGAAAGTTTGGAACCATTCCCTGGGGAAACCTTGGGGTTTTGAGAGGATTTCCAGCTAAACATCATCCTAGACAACTGCAAAAGTAATTTAACAAAGTGTTGTTAAATTACCTGTTACTAAGCAGGGCTGTATGTGTGTGGAGTTGGTGAGTACATGAATTATTTTGTCGCTGTTTTTCGTTTGTTGTCGCTCAGCTGTTTGACTATGGACTATAAAATTGACCATTCTTTCGGGGACTTCTTCCATTCTGTGTTCGCTGGGAATTATTCGTATTTACAAAGAATGCAATAAGTTTAACAATTGGCATTAGCTATTTTTGATATAGTTCTTATTTTTTCATTTATAAACAGTGGTGTTTTTGTTTATTATTATTTTTTTTCTATTTATTATTTTTTCTACGACAATTTATGAACATTTATGAAGGATAGCTCATAATTTCCTTGTTTATTTCTTTTTTTGTTTATTTTTCTTTTTGGGAAAGATTGAGATTTCACTTTTACCTTTCTGAAAAATAAAACAGTGGAGGGAGGGGGAAGAGAAGGACAAAACCTTTTTTTGAGGTAGATTTGGCTAGCAAGTGGAAGTCCAGGGGATTTTGGGTGATAATAATTAATCCTTTTTTGATTTTTAAGAATTATTAAAAAATAGCACAATTATAAAATGTACATTGATTCAGTTATTTGTTGTTATGAAGTTATAAAGTGTTATGTATTGCTTGTTATGTAAAAAAGTGTTTCTCTATTTTCATGCACACTCCTTGTGCAAAAATACTATTTGAAAAAGATCTTTTTTCCATTTTCTCTGCAAGATGTTTAAACTGGGATCAGCCATATCTCTACATAAAGACAATGATAAAAGAAATGTTTTCTACTGATTTCTGAACACTGAATGATGGGATTACAAGACAATGTGCACACTCTTTGTGCAATGGGCACCTAAAAGAAAGAGTTCCTGAAAATAAACTGTCTCCTTTTTTGTGTACAGCATCTGTACATGCATAGTGCAAGAAGAGAATAAAGAAACTTTTTGAATTTCATTTGCAAAATGTTCTAAAAACTTGGATCAGAGAACAACACAAAAAGCATTCACAACATCTGTGCAAAAAGACAAATGCAGCTTTTATATAATTCACCTTTTTTTACGCCATTTTAAGGAACTGGGATTGCAAGACAATATGTGCACTCCTTGTGCACTGGGCACCTAAACAACTTTCTACTTTCATACAAAGCACAATAAGACTGAAGTTTTCTACATTATTTTGGTAACACTTTGCAGTAGAAACTGGGATTGCAAGACAGTAAGCACATTCCTTAGAATAATTCTGCATGCCACGTGCATGTGCAAAAAACAGTAATGAAATAAATTTGTTATTGCAAAATGACAATTTCAAGAAATCAATTTTTGACTTTGTTTTGCAATCATTGAAAAAATGATGGAAAGACAGTACTAGTACCAATGCACCGCCAGTTAGTAATAAAGATAAACCAATACACTGAACCACGAGGTTTAATATCAAGGCTAAAACTGCCTAACTAAATGAGAACATAAACGATGTTGATCCAGCGAAAACCAAGATGGCCGACCACGGGTCGGTCACGTGGGTAAAACAAAAGGTACCGCTGACCAGTACTGGAGTACTGGACATTTTTCTTTAAAATGTATTAAATGGTTAATAATGGGAACATAAAGTCTATACAAAATGCTTTATAACTAAGGAAAATGTCAATAAATCTTTGCTAAATGGCAATAATATAGTCTGCTAAGTGTGCAGGAGTGCACCTTGGTCGTGTTGACCTGCGTAATCCTTCTTGGGATATGGGGACCTGTGTAGGAGCTGCGAGTTGAAGGTCCTCTTCACATGCTTCTGCGGTTGGGTCAGGCTCAGCAAGAGATTCGTGAATTAATCCCGCAGGGTCCAAATTTCGCTAGGAGACAAACCACTTGAGCGGATTCGGGAGTTTAGAGATGCCGTTGCAATGGATAGAGTCAAGTCAGTTGCTTGTCCACCGAGGGGGTCCTGTCGTAGGAGTTCATGCTCAAGTTCTTGGATTGCTTTCTCTGCAACAGGATTTTTGTTAGTGTTCTTTGCGTGGCCTAACTCAATGGTGATCCTATAGTGTTTCAATAGCTTGCCGTCTACGAGCGATTTAAATCCTGGTGCAGGATCGGTTCTTATGATTGCTGGTGCGCCGTCTAGTGACCGAAGTTGGACGCATAGTTGGATTAGGGCGTCACGGAGTGAGGTGTGTCGTTCGTCTCTAATGAAGCTGGTAGCTGTGAAGGATGTTACAGTTTCTCGTAGTACCAGTATGAGCTGACGCTAACATCAGCGGCAAAGGATTGACCTATGACATCGGGTGGTGGTGAGCTGGACTGTTCGACACGTGCATGAGGGGACTGTTGTAAGGCAGCGCAAGTGTGGCATCCACTGGTTATACGATCAATTGCTTTGTCCATGTCGAGTGCGTACAGGTAGCGTTTTTCGACAATTTTCAGTTTGTGGCTGGTTGGATGGTGAAGCTGGATGTGAAGGGCAGCGAGTAGACCATCTAAGGCTTGTCGGGGAACAATGATGCAGTCGCRTGTTGGACCCAGGGGTTCAGTGCGCTTAACGACTAGTAGACCATCAGAAGGGATGGTTGCTGCGTTTAGGTATCGTTTCACGTCTTTGATGTTGTTCAGCTTCTTTGAAGGCCGTGYTCCTTGGGTGAGGTTCCTTGTGCATGGGCACCTAAAACAAGAGTCTMTCTACTTTCATGCACACAATCTGTGCAAAAGAATAATGAGAAATGACGTTTTCACCTTGTCAGCTCTGCTTTTTTTTATTACTTTTTGTCTAAAGATTAATGAAAACCAAGTTTTDCTTATTCCATTTTTGATTCATTTTTATCTTATTTTTAACGTTACAAAGTTAGCAAAACAGTCTTATTTAAGGAACTTCCATTTCAGTACATTATGCACAATCCTTGTGTAATGGGCACCTAAAATAAAAGTTTCTCCATTTTGATAAAAGAAAATTTGAAGAAATCCTCACGACTTTTTAATGCAAAGAATATTTCTGACTTAATYATTTTACTAAAGCTGAAAAGGAAGCTAAACAGAGAGTGAACAATGACACCAGGTAACTCAATAATGTAGCAATTGTTAGTACAGGGTAGTCTCCTGTGAGTACTCTTTGTCATATTATYAGAACCTTGTCTTCAAAAAGGTTGTCACTTTCTTGGTGGGCTTCATTGTGTACATCATATTGGTACCTACAGCACTCTATGAGAATATTGGATGTGCTGTAAATTTCTTTCTAATCTCTCCTCTATTTGGCGTGCCTGTGAAGGTTATTTGACCAAATGAAGACTTAGTTGATGAAGTGGAACTAAATTTGCACAGCTGCAGTAGCAGACCTACATTGTAGCTCCCAGT